TACATACTACTAACAGTAGGTGACCTGACTCGTTTTAGGAGGTGATTGGATGCATATCTGGCCTTTACAGTGACTCGCGGTGGCCTACCGACGTATCGAGCGAGGACTACTATCTTCCCAGGCAAGTCTTGCACAAATTTGCCGACCACGGAGGGTTGGAAAGCTTGGTGAGCCTGATGCGCAGAGATCGATTCCGTCTGTATTTCAGGGCACCTCCAACCACTGCGCTACACGAGCTTCCCACAGCATTTGCCCTGGATAAGCTGCCGATTGATTACAAGAAGTGCAAGAAAAGCTTTTGTGCTCCAAAATAAGTCGGCGGAAAGAGTATGATCTACAGACTCCTTACCGGCCACTTCTGAAGATCAGTGTGACGTCTACAGGTGTTACTCGTAGCGAGATTGTTAAAGACGTTGGGACTACACCACCACGTGGGAAAGAGGACTAATGCTACTCCATGGGAGTTAGGAGATTGGACTTGAGAACAGATTAGCTCGAGCGGGTAAGTGAAGGTATTCATAGACCTCATGTTCGAGTGTCGTCATTTAAACGAATAATCGAATGCGCGACAACGAGTTGGGTAAACCAGTGTATGAAGACTTTGCAATTGGCCTATGACATTCCCTTCATACATGGAGGGCAGTAACTAAATTAAAGGCAGTCTTTGTTTCAGGTGTAGTATTAATGTTATCCTTATTTGATATAAAGTTCGGTTTAGTTGCTTTCGCAAGAGCCTAGAAGATTTGAAGGACGAAAATACCTATCGTTCTGTTGTTCTAAAGCTGTTCTAAACTTCCTCATTGGAAGTCACGAAAAAGCAGTGGGTTTTCCGAGAAGTTATTGATCATGTAATTACCAAAGAGTTTTTCGTCTTTTTGTAAGTGTTATTGAAGCGTTTAGCCTAGTAGATTGTATATCAGCATGCCCTTCCAGGCTCTGAAGAAGGCGATACTGCCGAAACGTCAGCTAGTGTTGTATTGTATTGTGTTTTTCTATGGAAGTAAATGTATGCTGTTTAAAAACCTCGCGATTGCTGAACAAGAAAACGACAAAATACCTATTCTTCAGAAGATTCAAAAATCGGAATAGAGGAATATGATTCACTTTGTCGTATAACCACCTTGACAAAAGGAAGTAAGGAAGTCGGACGATTTAATGTTATGGAGAGGCTAAGTCCCAGCAGTCTATGCGAGCTTATCCGTTGTAATGGTTGCTCGTTTTCGTAGGTTTGAGGAATCCGATTGTCAAAAGTCATTTCAACGAATGCTTGTGGACCCTAACATGCTCATGTCGAGACGTTTCTTTCAGCCTTAGTCATCTTTATCAAAACAACCAGTTCATCACAATCGATGTCCTCCCAGACGTCTCCGGGCAGTAAGAGACCAGCACAATCGCAAAGTGCTTAGTTGAAACAAGAAAGGGATAGATCCGCAACGAAATCAAGCACTCCAATAAGACTAGGGTCCTTCAAGCAGTTTACAGCAATGGCTGCATGTTTGAAAATCCTCGAAAACTTCTCTTAGTACGGTTTTTGTCACTGCAAATGTCCAACCTCTACGAGCGGGGTTACAGATTATGTGGTCAACCGCAACCTCACTTCAAAACATCACATAATTTATTATACATCGTAGCTTCAACATTACCGCCCATCAGAGATATTCAGGAGTCCAGAAGGGCACTGACAACGTCAAAAATAGGCGTGGCATTTTGATGTTAATGGTTCTGTTAGTATTTGTTCTGTTGGCGTGAAATCACTGGCTACTTGCCCGGCTTTTCTTTCCTTGTTTATTTCAGTTATGTTGACCAGTATGTCATTGACGATTAACATCGGAGTCAAACTAATGAGAACATTCTAAAAGACTGTTGTAAAAGTCAGAAACCCGTATTGCTGATTGATTTGCGAAGTAGACAGATATAAGCTCGACAGCTTATATAGCTTATTGATTTCATGAACGATGTGAGCATCTCTCAACACACCGGATTCTTTGCTGGTGCCACGTAGCCTTACAGTCCAACTTTTTAGTTTCCTGCTTTACGTATCATATGGTTTGCTAGGTAGTGCAAGTTGTCCTAAAGTTCGCAGGAGCGCAATTTATGAGCTAAAATTTGGGATTTTTTCCTTTCTGTTCACTGAACTTGTTAGTAGAGATTATGTTTGCTTTTCCATTTTTGGTAAACTATTTAAAGGAAGTTTTTTAAATAATTTCTCAAGTCTTTGTAAACGGTGCTTTCGTTCGTTTTTCAGAGATATTATGGACGATGACGACCTATCTGGAGCTTTTGAATCAGTCGGAAATGACAGAATTTCTACTGTCCCGGTGGCACATACAGTTCACAAAATGTCTTTTGAACGGTATTCTTCCAAGATTTACAGCATTGCTATAACTGTTAGTTGTGCATCTTTGTCAGTACAGTCGTACCAAAAGTTGTTTGCAGCTGGATGCAGCTCGTCAGGAAGAAGCACGAAGACAGGCAACTTCCTTCCTCAATTCCATGTTGCGAGGTGATTGCGGTGATTCCGTGGAACCAGCCGTTAAACGGGTGACTCCATACGCCTTATATAAATCAAAATCATACATTTCAAATATTTTGCAGTTCTGAAAACTCAAAGTATTTTTTATTGTCCAGTTTAAACAGGTTGGTTCATCTGTGTCTAGGTAGCACTGCCTCCCGATATGCCGTTCGAGCCGTTGGTTACCAGAGATGTGGCTCCGACGAAAAGCTAGCCCTTCCAGTTGAATGCGTTTCAACGAGAGGCAATCACTTGTATTGAAAATAATCAATCCATTCCTGTTTCTGCTCATACTTTTGCTGGAAAGACTATTGTTGCTCTGTAAGCATGTTTCTGTTGTATATTGGAGAAATGTGTTACAGTATTGTTGAAATCTCATAGTTTTTATAGATATGCCATAGCCCAATCGTTGAGAGACAGGCAAAGAGCATCTATACATCTCCAATCCAAGCCTTGTCAAATCAGAAATTCCGAGAATTGGAAGAAGAATTTGGAGACGCCGGTCTTATGACAGGTTTGTTGTTCAATTTAATTTGTTTCCCTATGTGTGATTCGTATCCCGAATGTGGTTGTATATACTGCTTATGCAGTGGAAATTCTATACAGTTAATTTATGGGACAACTTACTCACTTGATACTTGATAATTGAACGACCCGCTCTCACTGGTTGTGCGTGCCCCAGCATAATCACCACTTTTAGGAAATTTTCTGGTTAGGCCACTGTGGTTCCGTGGAATCCCGAGGTCAGCCTGGCCGAAATCTGCCTTAGGTATTCACCACCACAGGCAGTCGCAGCTCGTGTGGATCAGAGGGAGATTTGCCACCTTGCGACCTTGATACCAGGGCGGTGGTGGATCTTGGGATTGGTTTACTCTTAGTCAGGCTTCCTGATGGAAACGCCGTCATTTTTTTCCGAGTAGATCTAATTCACTAATTCTAAATTTATCTAATTCGAAGCACAGAATTCCAATGTACCAGTAAAACTAGAGTTATTTTTACATTTAGGTCTCATTTGAAAGTGTTCATTACGGAATCTCAAAGTTTGTAGTCGCATAGTTTCTAAAGATAAAGGAATACTAAAAAAAAAAGGATAAAACTGTCGGCGTTGACCAATCACCTAGGGATGCGCCATGCATTCAGCTTCAATAAACATTCTTGGAGAGGGTTGAATGCATATTTGGACTTTACAATAACTCGCGGTGTTCTACAGGTGCATCGATCCAGTACAGCTATCATCCCAGACAAGTCTGGTGCTAATTTACCGGCCCCGGGGCGATAGAAGTCTTGGTGTGCCACGGGCTCGGGAATCGATCCCATACGTATTGCAGGTCGCCTTCGACCCACTGTGGTACACATGCCCCTTACCTTATATTATGAAGGAGTATTTATGGATTTTTGCTGAAACATTGTGATTTTCTGTTCTTTAAAAAATTATTAGCAGTTGTTTTCGAGTTTCCCATTCTCAATTACTGATACAGTATGCTGTCTTCAGAGTAAATATGGCACCTATCCCCTCTGCGTGATTCCTGATGTGAAGCAAATAAAAATTCGAATTACTTGAGAGTTCTGTGCACTATATCTCTTTGTTATATTTTCGGCAGCACCTAATTATCAACCTAACGGTTTTTTTTTTTGTTTAGAACTTTAGCAAATGTGCACCATTGACGTATCTAATAACATCACTTGGTTTTTTTGCACTTTTGTAATTACTCTGATAGTCCATCGTGAATATAACATTAACAGGTGGCGTAACTCTGAATGCTGAAGCATCCTGCATTGTGATGGCAACTGAGACCTTTTGGTCTATGCTGTACAAAGGCTCTGAAGTGATGAGCGAAGTGGGTTGGGTGATCTTCGATGAAATCCATTATTGAGAGACAAAGGTTGGCTTTTACATGTTGCTCTTTTTGCTGTTATTCATATTCCTTTAAAATGTCGCAAGAAAAAGTTGCACATTTTAGAACGTGGAATTGTTTGGGAGGAATCTATCATTTTCCTGCTAGGCAACGTTCATCATGCATTCCTGTTGGCTACCATTCCAAACGCGCGGCAATTTGCACGTATGCAGAACTCTTTATTCTCGCGTTTTGTAAGTATCTAATTTAAAAATGCAACCGCATTGATGCTGAGGAATGAGCTATGCTCAGTTCCTCAGTTGGGCTTCGAAATCTCTATTACCCTTTCCAAGGACTCACGCGTTATCCGCTGCACCATGAGAGACCTTGCTTTGCTTTTTTCTCAGCAGGTTCTCCTTAGTGTAACGTTGCTATCAGCGATGATCCCTCAACGGAAATGATCTGGGTCGAAATCGAAAAAAAAATCGAAATCACAATTTTTCACTTTTATTTAGTTACGGCCAATTATTTTTTGATGCCAGGATGCTATGTGAACCACAGTGATGCTGAGATATAAGCAAAATTCGGAACCTTAGGTGTTCTTTAAACCAACGATTACTCTTTCTCGAGGCCTTCATGCTATACACTAGACCACCCAAGTCCTGCTTTTCTTACAGCAAATCTTTTAGGTCTAATCTGAAAATGTTTGTCAAATAGATGAGTGTCGTAGTGACTACTACCGTTCATTAATTTAGTTTCCTCTTATCTAGAAACAGTTAAATTGAATCTAAGGACTATTTTTCTTTTTTGAGAGCGGCTGTGTTGGTTGCAAAGGCACCTAGTACATGTTGTGTACACTGATTATCGGCCTGCTCCACTTCAGCGTCTCATCTTTTCTGTGGAAGGTAAAGGACTATACGAAGTTGTCAAAATCCGGGCTAGTATTGGTATTTTTATCTAATCTCACGCATTTCTACGCAACTCCATACATATTCGTTCATTTCAGGGTCAATTTCTTGAAGACAACTTCACGGAAGCAATGAGTGGATTAGAGGCGTTGGGAGACAAAACGGAAGGAGGTGTTCAGAGAGGTCGTAAAGGTGGAATGAAAAGTACGTCTTGATATCTCTCCTATGTTTGGTTTGCGTGTACTTCTAACAAGGTGGTCCTTCATTTACACGTGCAGATTCATTAGAAATGAATGTTAAACTGATCTTTTCAGATCCTGTATATGACTCCTCGTAAAAATTTTTTAGCCGATTCTAACGTAGTGAAGACAATTCGAACTATCATTGAACGTTCAATGTTGCCGTGCATCAAATTCTCCTTTAATAGGGAGGAGTGTGAGGGCTCTCTCTCTCAAGAATATAGATCTTAACANATCTGTCTAGGAATAGACCACTTTTATGTGTTGAAACAATTTAAAGACCTCTGCTTCATTACTGTCATCTGGATATTCGGAAAAGAGCCATCCATATTTTATTTAGATGAAGAGAAGAAATTAGTTCGCGAAATTTGTAGTAGTGCTGTCAACCTTCTAAAAGATGACGATAAGAAGATTCTTCAAATAGGACAGGTGCTGGGTTTTTGCCTTGCTGCTTTCAGGCTTTTTTTCTCGGATCTTTGCCCCTTCCTTGATGTGCTTAATGTTATTTTAATTTCAAGATACTTCCTTTAATATTTTATGGTTTTGGTGTTCATCACTCAGGATTAATGCCAATTCTCAAAGAAGCTGTGGAAATATTATTTGGAGAAGGTCTATTGAAGGTTGGTCTTAAAATTATTCTTAACTCTCTGTGATAAACTTGTGGTACGTTGTTTTTTTTTTCTTATTTGAATAGAACATCTTCCTCACGTTCCATGTAGACTTTACTTGCCACTGAGACGTTCTCGATGAATTTGAACATGCCAGCGAGAACAGTTCTGTTCACGTCAGCGGGTAAATCCGACGGAGTTAGTAACAGGTATTTAAACAGTTTTCCAACTCACCATTTCTGCAATGATGCTGAGATATTCGCAAAACTTGGACCCGGAACAGATCGAACTAGGATTACCCTTTCCGGGTGCTCACGTGTTGTACACTGCACCACTGAGGCCCTTGCTTTGCGTTTCTCTCAACTAGTTCTCTACCTAATGCTGCCATCAGCGATCATCCGTCAGCGGGATTGATCTGGGAAGCACAAATCCGCATTGAACCCAGGTTTAATTATCTAATTAACGTAGTTTAGTTGTTTAGTTACTTAAGCCAGTCTCCATTCTGGTTTTAATTTAAAGCACACTCCCGTTCTGGTTTTCGAAAACTTCCAATATTTTATCGGTTACTAGAATAATTGTGTTTAGAGTTTAGTAGACTTGTAATATCGGCGTTGTGCCATCGCTTTAAGGGTACAAAAGTAGTTTTCTAAAACCATCTTTTAATTTGTGGTGCGGTCGAAATTTAAGCTAGAGGAAAACGCGGAGCCGAAATTTTAAATTCTTAATTTTTTTTCACTTGAGCGCAGTAGGCGTTAACGTCAAAAATACTTTGTATTGTGTCACTGTGTCCTGTTTCACGAAATCCCCACTGTTCAGTCACTTTGATGTTCGAAATAAATTCCACAGCGAACAAAGATTCTTCACAAAATGCATCTCACGAGCTCCAAAGTAGAATTTTGTTACAGTAGGACAAGAAACATGGAGACAACATGGGTGCGTATAGCGGAGTGGTCGGAGGCGTCCTGCATTACACATGGAATCGATCCCGCGCACAAGGCTCACCAGACCTTCCATCCCTCTGGGTCGGCAAATTATTTAGTAGCAAACTTGTCTGAAATGTTAGCAGCACTGACTCGATACATCGATATGCTATGAGAGTTTTGTCCGTTATCCTTTATCAACGACAACCGTCCTCTACAAAAAAGCACTGCCCAGTGTGGTTCTTTATTCGAACGTTGGTCCACTGGATTCGACTTGATGCTAAAACGGAGACTCGCATTAAGGAAGCGAATAACTGTGAACAGTCCACTCGGATGAATCCGGATCTAATGAGGGTGACTGACGCCTACAAAACGTTACCTGGATGAATTTCTCTATCAACCTCATCTTACCTTACTAATGGAATACGTGTTGATTAGTATGGCACGTTCATGGCAAAAAAATCGATAGAACTAGCTGAGAGACAGGCGAAACGAAGGAACCGCATGATATGGCGGTGAACGCGTTACTCCCCGGAAAGGACAATAACGCGTTCGTTCTCCACCGCAGACACTTGCGGTCCGGAGTTTTGCAAATATCTCTGCATCATTGAATTTATATTTCGCAATATATACCCTGCCATTAAAAAGAGTAGGCAGTAAATAATAAGTTAAAATTAGTAATATTGAGGTTAAACGAAAGTCAACTTTCGAAATATTTCTTAAATCTTGCTTTTTACAGGGAGCGACTGATCCACTCAATTCACAATTTCGTCTCACATACAATATGGTGTTGAGCTCACTTCAAGTGGAAGGAGTCAATCCATAGTTTATTTTGGAGCGGTCTTTCTATCAATTTCAGAACTTCAACGCTATTCCAGAACTACAACGAAGTGTGTTGACTGTTTGATTGCTTCTTAATGCCCTACTCTATTTATACAACTTTTGCGGTTTTTTCATTCAAATTCTGACCACTTAATTAAGGTCAGCTATAGTTAGCTTACATTGATAGTAGTTAACTCTGCTTGAAGCATCATGCATGTGAAAATGCAATTTTAAGTATTCGCTCTTTGTGAATTAAAAGGAGGTGCCCGATGTTTTCATGTAAACGTACTAACTTTAATGAATTTCCACCTACGTTAAGAACAAAGTGATATGTTAAACCGTGATTCCAGTCTCATCCAACGTAAACTCAATTTCAGTTATCAGTCACTGTACCTGGCATATGCCGCTGCGTCATGTACGACTAAAGTTTTCTGGATTTAGTTTTAAAAATGAAGGGAATGAGATGCAACCATTATGATGCTGAGATATTTGCAAAACTTGGACCCAGACCCGATCCTTCCGCCACAACTCTTTCCGGTGTCTCACGTGATGCGCACGGCACCACTGAGGCCATTGTCTTGCGTTTCCTTTAGCCAGTTTTTTTACCTAGTGCAGCCATCGCCAGTTATCCGTGAACAGGAATAATTTGCGAGGAGAAACTCCATGCTAAGCATAGTTAAGCTTAGGCTGGATAATCGCGATTCGATCTGGCCTGGAGTACAAGTTTTGAAAATATCTCAACATCATAGTGGTTGCATTTTACATCATACCCTGCCGTGAAAAGCGATATTAGGCAGTAAATAAAAAGTTAGCATTAAAATTAATGAGTTGCAAAAATTTATAACTGTTGTGTAGAAGTGGATGAAAGATTGTACGAAGTGGACAATGTGCGTGTAGAGCATGAACGCGATGTAACAGCGTTCTTCGATATGGTGAAGCAGGTAGTGTTTGTTACTAGTCTCGCTTGAGACTCTTGTAGTTACTGTCCTACGTGTACCATTTTAACTTGCTTTTCTTTGCTAGTCCTTTTTTATTGTATGATTTATACCTGCAGATTGCAAACCTCCGAAAAAACAATCAAGAAAACAATGCACATGCCAAAATATTTTGTGCCCTTCTTCCATGTCGGTAGAACGCTCCATGTACGGTTTTATCCCTTAATATGTCTAGATAACATATGAGTGAATGCTGCTCATAGTTTGTGAATCTGTTTTACTTTTACAGATAGTTGTTGGTAACCGAGATTTTGGTTGGGCCGTTTTTGTGAACTTCCATAAGAAAATTGATATAGACGATAGCATGCAGATGGTGTAGATCCTCGAAGTAATTATTTCTTTCTTGTTTTGCAAATCGACTCTCCAATCACTTTGAATACAAAAGCGGCAGCATTAATGACGTTGTTAGTTTGACGCAAATTCAACCCGCTACTGAAGGGGCACCATTGCGTTTTCTTTGCAAAACCCACCACACGCTTCCTTTTTTTTCTGGCTTTTTATCGTTTAAAATCTATTTAGACGTCATTTGATTTCGTATCTCTAACTTTGAATTGTGTCGATGAAATCAGTTCTCTTCGATTGAAGCTTCCACCAAAACTGGGTTCAGATCACTCCAAAAGTGTTGTCGATCAGATGGTTAAGGTGATTCAAATTGTTTTTTTCGTTACTAATTCTTCAGTTTCATGCTTGTTTCCTTTAATTCCCTACTATGCTGACGTAATTTTATACTACTTAAAGTTTAAAATCGCGATTTCACAATAATATCCCTCTTCTGGATCCCATCAAAGTCATGCATATATCCAGGCCGTCACTCATTCATACTGTCGAAAATGTCGCTGAATTTGAAGAACGTAGTAAAGAGAATCCGTTGCGGAAAATGAAAAATTTTAACGATATCAGGATGCAGTAGCTTTCTAAGGTTTGTTGCAAATTCGTACCGAAATCCTTGCGATTGTGTAAGATTAAACATTAGATGTTAATCTAGAGGGTTTCCGTGGTTATGTATTGGCTACAGAGATGGCTTATCACGTGATTTTGTTCTCAGGACCAAGCAGAACAGGAATACAAGACTCTCTGTGATGAGTTACGAAAAGCACAGTCAGTTCAGCAACTGGAGGAACTTGATCATAGAAAAAGAGTGCTCCGCCGCCTTGAATGTGCTGACAAATCCGATATTATAACTGTCAAGCTGTGTGGAACAGTGACTTATCGGTATTTATGTATCCTTTATCAGAATTTGATTTTCTTGGTTGTGACGACTGTGCTGGTTTTCTAACTAAAGCACTAGATTGTTCAGAAATTATTACACGATTTCAACATGCATCTCAAAAAAGCACGTCTCAGCTCAGAATGAGGTTTTTGAATCAAGACAAGGACCATTAAAATCTACACATTTTTTCCAACGGGGAACAAGTTTATAAGTCTCAATTACATGAAACTCTAGAGTTCAGCAGGTGAGGAAGCCGTTGAGTGCAGTCTCGGCCTCTGCTTTTTACTGAGGCATTTCTTGCATAGGACGTTGTCAAAGTGCTTGAAGAAGTGCTAGTCGGGAGACGATAGTTGCGAAAATTACTATGCATTTTATTGTGCAGAAGAATTGGTTTCTTTTTGTTGGTCATATACGTTGAAACAAAAGGTGCATTTCATCGATTTTCAGGACGCAGTTCGTAGCAATAATTATTTAAAACGGATTTATAAAACTCTGATGGTTCAAAACCTTCCAACGGTTTACCGCCTCATCGTATCTGGGAGGTGTTCCTGGATTTCGGACTGTGATGCATAGCGGGGCGATTCATCCTCCGTCAGGTTCTTCCAAGCTGAGAAAGAGTTCGACATTTCCATCAGAAAGTTTAGCTAAGAGCAAACGGTTACCAAGATTGGTCACCGTCCTAGTATCATAGTAGTCGAATGGTGGTAAATACGCTCTGATCCGCAAGTGCGGCGACGGGACCGCCTATGGTTCAACCTGGAGACGGCTTAGGCCAGGTTGACCTCGGGTCTCCAGGGAAAACAGTAGCTAAACCAGCGAAGCTNCTAAAAATGGAAATCATGTTGAGGCCCGCACAACTCTTGAGGCGGCCGTCTAAGTATCCAAGATGGATCAAAACAGCGGTAGACCACTAAGTGGTCAGCATCATCCTCTTTCGGGGTAAGTTCGGCTTTTGGAAATGCTGCGGAGGTTCATTGTGGTTCAAACACTGAGCCGATCGTCTCCAGTTGTTGTACTGGATCTACCTTTCGTGGGGCGTCATGGTGGTATGTTCGAAAAACTTTGTTCTGGATGCAAAGAGGAATTTCCGACAATGCTTCAACACGGCGATCTTTCTTAATGTCATTCGTGCGGCGTCTATTTCATGATTCTGTTTGATTTTCCAATTTTTTTAGACTCTCTGAAACGGACAAGATGCATATAACGAGTTCTTTTGCAAATTTTCGAATACTTATGAATCTGCATACTTCAACCAAGGCCTTCAATTCATTGTCGCGGAGGGGTGTCTGCAACTTCCCTCATCTTCAACGTCGAATTCGTCATGAAAAAGTTTATAAACGAACGTCGCATTGTGCATTCGCTAATACTGCATTGGTCCCACCTATATCTTATTAATGTTTTGAGCCATCTACGGTCGTTTAAGACGACGGAGTTTGAATTCGTGGAAGTAGATTCATCGGATTTGCTATTTTAATGTATAGAATCCTAACCTTCAAATTTCGCCAAAACAACGATTTGTACTATAATTCAACTACACAAAGCGAAGATGCATAAAATAGGCGTCTATTAGTATATAGTAATACAGAATTTGAAAAAGAAACATTCCTAAAGCATAAACAAAAGTTAGAATTGCAAATCGATCATTATTCCTCGAATCATTCAGTACTTTAGAGATTGGGCCTTAACAACTTAAGAAGAGACCTTATTATCGCCTATGCGTTGTAAACCAGGGGCCATGCCAGAGATAGGTGTTCTCGACTCGCTGGTATACTTGCGGAATTCCGTTTCCGCAGAGTGGAATGGAATTCGTGGACATAAAAAACGTGAAAGAAACAAAGAAGTACACTTCAGTTGTCGTACAAAGCCATGAGGAAATCTAACAACACCGTGCGTAGACAATGGTTAGTTATGGTCTAAGAACATGGGAACATATACACAAGTGCATAACGGGTACTTAGAAGCTGGAATGACGCAGAATATATGCGAGTGGACCGAACAATAGAGCAGTGCCCTGAAGATACCGCACCATTTGACTTTGATTTTTGACGGCTGTCGCGGGACGTGCGTCTTGATTTCGACGCTCATTTCTATCACCCTTTCGTGAAACAAGCTCCGATGGACGTAGCACGCAAAATTGACAGCTCTTGTGAAGAGGTTGATCTCATTCATTGGTTACTTATTTGTTAAATTTAATAGAATGTTGGTAAAAATCTAATTTAACTGCAGCAGCGATGGAAATCAGTGGCGAATTCGGGATACCATCCCTTTCTTTACTATGATGGAATTCTAGACCAAAATCATGTTTTTAGAGTGCTTATGTTCTTACGTTTTTGCTTCAGTTAGTAACGTGCACTATCAACCGAAAAACGTTTGAACTACGTATTACTTGATTCGGCAGCACGCTTCCAATCCGTCAATTAACCGAGTGGTCCTCAGTGTGTAAAAACTCGTATTAGTCCTCAGTTTGTTGAAGCTCAGTGAACATCTATTTGGTTTCTCTCGTTATTGCATAAATTTGCCAGAAACCAATACATCCTTTGATGTAAAGAGATATTTTTATTAAGTCATTGGCGACGGCCAGACTTCTAGAAGTGTTATTTCTAATGAGATATTGTAACGAATATGCATAGCATTCATATCCATGTAATGGTAGAACGTAGTCTCTTTTACAATCATGTCATATTACCAGTCTTTGAAGTCTTCTGTTTCTCGAGATATTCTTGTTTATTGCCGAGTAAATCCAGCAGGTCGATAGCATCCGAAAACTACGCGTCTCTCCACTTCGTGGCCTCAGAAAATCGGGCCTGATCGTGAATGTATTAATAAACTTGTATATTCCACCACATCTTCCATATTACGGTTGTTAAGTAAACTATTTTGCTGTTTAATCCCTAAAAGTCACCCTCTGTCATTCACATTGGTTGGTGGTTGTCTGTTGGCGAGTTGTTTGTCATCTACCGACTAGTTGAATTCTTGAGCGTTAGAAATTCATGAAATTAATTTATTTGCTAGGTTAAAGGACGAGAATATTTGTTTTTTCTCAAAATGCTTTATCGCATCTTTTAACGGGCACTTTATCTCCCAACAGGACTTCACATGCTAATAAGGAGTACAAGATTTGCATCCGGAAACGCAGTTACTAGTCACTCAATATTGGGAATCACCGCCGTCTTGGTTTCAAATTAGTCGCATGATGGCAAATCTCCCTCCGATCCTGGCGACTCTCCGTGGTGACGACTCAAGGAAAGTTACGGCTAGAATCGCATTGGGACTCCAGAGAACCACATATAGCTCAGCTGGCAGCTAGCTAGCTGGCAACGATCCAATCTTATTATTCCGAATTCCGCACACTGCACGTCCCTGTCTACGACGTTTGGGGTGGCGGGGACAAGCGATGACAGATTAGCAGTCTCGAGTTGCCCAGGCGCTATTGGAAGCGGACGAAACGAGCACGCCTGTTATTTGCGATAGTGATCGTTCTTGCTCTGCCCTATAACACCAGAACGGTCTCGTCAGATGTCGATCTTTACGTTCTTCTTAATGACCATGGCGGCATTAAATTCCTTATGGTTACTTTGCAAAAGACGTGCATTAGGAAGACTAACATATCCAAATTATATGATAGGGTCTTTTTCATTCGTGAAGAGTTTCGTTGCGAAAAGCGATGTTGGCTTAATCGTGTACTAGTCTGCTTCTGATCAGGTCACCACATATGGGATCCTTTCACCTCACTCGGCCGTTCTTTCTTTCCAAACTCCTCGTCAGAGCACAGTCAATACCATCAACCGCTACCCATCAACTTGTCCAGCTGATAATAGCAAAGTAGACGCGTTCTACGTCCGGTTCGAAGAAGTAATTCGCAACGAAAAATCTTCCTATAAATTATTTGTTTAAGATTTCAACGCCAACTTAGGAACCGTCTTGTATAACTGCTAACCGCAACATCTCTTCCATGGTAAGTAATTTTTGGAGAAGAGAGAAAATCGCCGGTGGACATGGGAGTCTTAACGGTATGACTCATGCGGAGATCTATAGTATTCTCACTAACGGTAAATAGTGCCTCTTTGACACTTCAGTGGTACCCATATTCCGTTCTGGACCCGCTCACGGTCTTCTCTTTGCGATGATTTTATTCAGCTACAAACATGGAATGAACCGTCGTCGTCCAAGGAAAGTAAAGCAAGCCGTCTATCACGAAGACATTCTCAATAAAATCCTTTCCTCATATGACTGATAGATAAAGGAAGACCCGACCGAGGACTACAACCTTGAAGAAATTGTAACTTGTATTGAACTTTCCTCAGTTCCTCATACCAGAAATGCAGACCGTAAATACCACGCCTCTCCATGATATGCACTAGATGGCGGGAAAGTTCTACGATCACGCAAGTTTTGTCCACTGTGCGAGAGCGTTTTACAGCGCCTGAACCAATGCAGTTCTATCAGCTCTCGTCGACTAAGAAGTTTACCAGTCGTTTGTAAACAATGGAAGTGCAGTTCTTATATCGACGGTTTACAGTTTTTATAAGAAAACAGGTTCGATAACGCGATACCATTGTCGCCAAAACTGCTTACAGCCTACATGCACTGGAAAATGCTGTCACTAGATTGGGAAGAAGAGGGCGTACATATGGTGGGAAATTCTTGCAAAATCTTCGTTTTGCTCACGACATTGTCATCTTTAGAAGTAGTTTCACTGAAGCAAAAACGATTCTTAGCGAGCTGTACGAAGTGGAGAGAAAAAGTATAGGACTGCGCATAAATAAGACGAAGACCTAGTTCATAAAGAGCCCGTGGTGAATGCGAAGAAATCGACCTGAATAGTTCATCGATTACAGAGACCACCTTGTGATTGTACCTTGGATGTCCAACGAACATGGAGAGTATTATGAAAAAAAAGTTATACATAAAAAGGTATGTATCATAAGCTGCATTCGGGTCTCTCAAAAAAAACCACGAACCATTTACGCAGCAGACCGCCACCACTGATGACAAATGCGCGAGAAAGAAGGAGTGAAGAATGTGCTGGAGCGCGCAGCGCTGGTAAAGACGGTAAGCAAATATCTAAATATCAATTTCCTAAGAGAATATTATGAAGAGCAATTTTTTTCGTATTTTTGTTGAGCAAACGCGAGGTGTTATTATTCTTTGTTCACGATTAAGACGATGTTTCGGCGGATTTCGCCTTCCTCAGAGCCGCTTCCTATGAGGTTTCCACTAAGTATGAAGAGCATTATTATGAAGAGCAATTAACCATTGTCTACTATAAGGTGAAATTCTACACCTACATCGGGCACTTGTGCGATCACAATAAGGAGACAAGTCATTGAGGAGAAATCTTTGTTTGTGTTAGCAGATTTCAGGAAATTGTTCTTTGATACTCCATAAATTTGTGAAAGATATGAAATATCTAGGACTCCTGTATATTATATTCTTATCATAAAATTTGAGGGTTGTTGTGCCTGTGAACTCTCTGCTTCCAATGAGTTGATGTTGACTGAAATGTTTTACGGAGGCGTATTCACAGACCTTACACCTGCTCAAATCGCCGCTCTTCTATCTTGTCTTGTGTTTCAGGTTTGTGATAAATTTTTTCATCATTCAGAGCATGGGGGTATTTCTTTATTAGGTTTCTTTTTCTTTTTCTTTTTACTTTGTGAACAATATCTCCAACGTTTTATCATAGGGGTCTTAGTATGAATGCAGTCGTTTAGGAAAACGCAAAAACTAAAATTAGCCGAAGGGCTGTCCGATTGTCTTCGAAAACTTCATGTGAGTGCATTTTTCACCACCAAGATTTATGTGGCCTACTTCGAATGGCGCTATCATACTACTGGCGGAGTTCTTTTTAAGTTTTCATCTGATGCTGTCCCATGCTAGTCACATTTTAAACGAAAATGTTCTGGTTACGAACTACTTCATTCCTGTACGAACAGTTTTGTTTTTTCACTGACTCGTGATACCGTACATATATCCATGTTCGGCTACCGTACGGAACTCTACAGAGTGCCAAATTGTCTGAAAAATTATATTGATGACCATGTTTTCAGCGTAATTCGCTCACCACTACAGGTCGCATTCTATCATTTGTACCATTTGAATTCCTAACTGTTTTCAATAGTTCTACACTAAAATATCGAGCAAGGAAACAACTTTTGTAAAATCTGTGTTTTTAGGAGTACGCTCGACGGACTGCCAAGTTGTCTGTTGAGTGACTCTATCTCTGCTGCTTTTTCTGTTTTACACTAGGGAATTTTTTCAGATGAGCGCAAAAGTGATGGGCAGTTTGGAAGCCGCTACACGACTACACACTCTCTTATTTCACCGAAATGGCTCCTTGGCTGCTTGTTAGGGGACAATTCCTAACGTATTAGCCAGAATCCTCTATCTCCCCAGTCTTCTACTCGTAACAGGAAAGGTTTCCAGTGCTTCTGTGATCGAAGTTTTAGCAGTTGATGCTAATGTTATCTACAACGCGCTTGATGTTGGATTTCCATATCCTCGAAGAACTCTCAGCGATCTTACAAAATGAATAAAATTGCCTACTCTCAGTAAACAGTTTCATCTATAAGTTTCTAGGGAGAATTCGGATCCGCTTAATCCAGGAACTGGCAGGAAGAAGAGTATGATGACAGTCCTGACGGACATAGTTGGATTATTGTAACATTGTTGTAATTGAAATAAAGCGGTTTGATGGAATTATAGGCAATGCTCGCAGTGCTGACAGGTTTCCGTGTCTGCGCACTAACATTTTCAATTTTCTTCTCCCGCTCGGTGCTAGTCGTCTCTCTAATTGAATATTGTGCTCTAGTGCTTGAGCCTAGCAATCAGCCGTGAGGCTTTATGGCTTAATTAACTAACATGTTTATCGCAATTGACCTAGTTTTTGTGCATTTTCTGTGTATGGTTGTACGGTAGTACGGTCGTACAGTAGCTGCTGAGAACGAGATGCTGTGAGTAACAAATGTTGCTGAAAAAGTCGGAATTCTATCAATCGAATTGCAATGTGATCCAAATCTATAAAATTCAAGGATTCGCTGTGGATGCGACGATCTTTATGGAGATGTAAAAATTCACACCTGTCAATTATCAAGTGGCAAGGAACTTGTTGTCATTTCCAATATTTTAAAAAGATTGTGCTTGTAGCATTTTCAACGAGTTGCGATGTTGTTCTCCTTGGAGAGGAAGTTCTTGTTGACGATGGTCGTGAGGACTTAACACGTTTCGCTCTCAGTTGTCTACCAAGTTGAAGATGTGCAGCTGTCAAGCCATTTTCTGGATGTGCTATCAGTTACATACGAATCATTGCACGTTTCGCGTTGTGCGCAAAGCCTAGTCGCCGCCACACTGTCTGTCCGCATACGTGTGTGGCCTGTCAACAGAAATAAGATCACTCGACCGAGAAGAATTGTGCGAAGTTTTCACAGTGGCCGCAAAAAGCAGTAGTCACCTTTTCATGTTCAACACGACATTGTGTTTCTTGTATGGTAACGTCTGTACAGCCGTTTCAAATTGAGATGTAAAGAACTAACGGTTTCCAACCTATCGGAATTTGTTCTTTAATTATCAAATAGTGAAATCTAACAGAAATCGCAATAAAGTTGAGGTTCTCACTAAGGAAAGATTTTTTGAAAGCACGTATCCCACTTAATCTTAAAATCTTACCTAATCTTAAAAGTCCACCGCATATTCCGTTCTCTGTGTGATCATCTCTGCTGGTTGTGGCGTAATTTAAACAAAGGAGGATGGTAGAAGTCGTTTTACTGCGCCTGTGAGCGGTCATTTGAATGATTGCGTTGCGGTTTTGGTTACCGTACCGGTTTTTCTTCGAATCACTCACACAACATCTTTGGGTACTTCAGGTGATTTTGCTGGACTGATCCAGGATCATTTGGAAAGTGGGAACAAACGATCATTTTAGCACTATTGCTCACACCTGTGACGTGTTTAAATGCGTTGAAAAAAGAGAGCCATCAGTTGTTCTGGTTCCACTGAAAAAGGAAGCCGATCGAAGAATGGCGAAATGCAAAGCCATGATGATTGCATTACATCGCCCAAGCGAAACAGTTACAGAATTCAGGAAGGCACTAGAGGAAATCATTCACGTTTATTACTCGGATCTATTCACTAGCCATTTCTTCCTGCTCTAACATGTAATAAAGTAGGATGGATATGTCGTTCCAGCAGTTCTTCATTTCGAAATACGACATATTATTTCGTCGGTGAAAAAGTCGAACAACACCAGCCCCTGCACAGGATAAGATTTGAACACCGAAATAACTTTCCAAAGTCTTCTTAAACACACTGGCTCGGCTCTTCAGACGTTAGCTTTCTAAATACAAGATCCCTAATCAGTGGAAAACCAGCAAGACCCTGTCATTATTGAGAAAGCGTGACCTCCACGACGTCGGCAACTATCCCCCAGTTTGGTTGCTCTGTGTCGTCTACAAAATTTCACTCAAGTCATCCTGAGTATGAATGGCAGAACACTGAACGAAGAACAGAAAAATGAGCACGCAAGGTTTCGAAAAGAATTCTGTAAGATTGACCAAATTAACACGATAATAAAGCTACTTGAAATATTGGGAGAATGGGAGACACCGCTCTTTCTGGTTTTCATCGATTTAAAGGAGGCTTTTGGCTCGTTTGAAATAGAAGCAGTCATGGAAGCTCTGGACAGCCAAGGCCACAGTGAGCACATGATCGACCACAATGATCGACAGAACTAGCTAAGAGACAGGCGAAACAAATGGGCCGCATGGTGTGGTGGTGAAGGCGTTATCCCACGGAAAAGGTAATAACGCGTTTGTTCCTCGCTGCAGACACCGGCGCTTCGGAGTTTTGCAGATATCTGAGCATTGGTGTGGTTGTATAACACATAACACCCTGCTATGAAGGCATTAAATAGAAAGTTAACATTGTAATTTCGACTGCAGCATCAGTTTAACCGGGTTCGTTTCCGCTTTGGGATCTCTAGATCATTTCCGTTGACTGGTGATTACTGATGGTGCCGATCGATAGAATTAACTGAGAGACAGGCAAAACGAATGACCCGCATGGTGTGGTGGTGAACGTATTAGCTCCCAGTAAGGATAATAGCGCGTTCGTTCCTCACCATATACATCTGCGGTCCGGAGATTTTGCAAATATCTCAGCATCACTGCCCTTTTGTCATGCATTGTCCCTGCCATGAGGAAATCATAGGCGGTAAGTAAAAAGGCGACTTAATGAAGTCATAGTTTTACGGAACTGGAGTACCAGCAATGAAGGGATAGTTCCAAAAGTTGCTAAAATAAACAGAAGAAGGTTAGTCTTGCAAATCTGGTGATGGAATGTCAGTGCTAATATCAATGAATGCACTTCTTTTATTGACATATCATTTTCATCCATGATAACTTGGTAGGATGTGTACTTCGTGCTACTCTAAACGAATTCGTTGTATTCTTCATTATTTATTATGGAAACATAAAAAGACAGAAAGGTGAGACCGCCTCAATAAAAGAAAACCGTGCAAGTATCAACCACCATGATTATTCGAAAGACCAGCTTTCTATAAGCCTCGGCATAAACAGTTGATATATTTATTTAGATGATCTTATAAGCTGGTCTCCTTGAACTGATGCGAGGTTGGCACAGGTTTTCGTTGTCGTTGTTGTTAGTGTTGTTGGACGATGGCCGATGCTTCGGCGGTTTGGCCTTCCTCGGAGTCTGGACGTACTTTATTGTAACATTAGCCCTATATTCGGTAAAACATCTATCCTACTAATGAAGATCAAACATTTCAATAAACTCCATATTGATCAAAAAGGCTACTCACCGTGCTGTTACAAGTGGGGCTGCCCGCGTGTTGATCACGTGGGATGGCGAGCTAGACCTACCCAGGTCAAAAGTCATCATGAACTAAGGCGCCAGGACAAGTGTGATCGTAAGGTATTCGTCTTTCCGGTTCATCCTTGGATTTTTGAAATTTATCCAAAACGCCTCAAGAGTCTTGCGCGTTGATGCATTCGATTCCTGCACTAAGATCTGGGCATTCACTTCGAAATCATTGCCATTGTGCTTTTGTGCCCTAAGTGTACCAAGAGTTCTTTGGCGAATTTTGACTCTCCCATCTAGGTGTTTTTTTGTGCGGACATAAAGCGCCCTACCCGCTTCCCCAATGTATTCCTTACTGCACGACCAACATGAGATCAAGTATATTGTACCTGAACTCATGCAATCCCCGTATCTCTCGTTAGGGCAGGTCATACAGTTTTCTGAGCTGCATGAGCGATCATAAAGGCGACTGCAGACTAATTGGTGGCGTAGGGTACTGGGTGTGGGGCCAACAATAGCCACATAATTTTCAAGACTACTTTTCCTTAGGCACCTGTTAATGGTGTAACTTATTTCGTTCGATATGACTTGTCGCTTAAAAGCGGTCTTATTTACGTTTGTAACCTTATTTTGGGGAACAATTTTATCCTTTTTCAGCCGTTCAGTATGTCTTTTTTGAGTCCTTTTTTTTCATGTGTGAAGGATGAGAGGAGAAGCAGTAAGCTTGTGTATTTCTACTATTTGGCTTGCGTTACCACTTTGCTATATAATCACTTTCTGAGAGCTTTATTTCAATCCTTAAGAATTCGAGCTCGCTTCGAAGAAGAGAGCCGAGGCGAAGCGCGAAAGAAAGAGAAGGAAAGCGAATCCGATGCATGGAGGCTGGGTTTCCTTATATCGTTTCAAAATTAGCCTTTTCATCGTGTTTTAATTCTTTCTTTCCGTTCAACTATCTGCTTTGACATCATAAATGACATTAAACAAATGTCTTCTTTTCATTGGTGTTTTATTTCTGGGTTTCAGTGAACTACAATGGCGTTCAAAATGACGATGGTATTTTTGAATGCGACGATGACGATGACGCCCATGAATTCGTGGACGATAACCCTGTAGAAATTGAGGAGATTCCATCAAAATGTGGAGAATTTGTTGCTAATGAGAAAAATGAAATTCGGCGTAGGTATTCGTTACTTTTCTTATGGTCAAAATCTCGAAGTCCGGCCACTTTTCAGCAAAAGTAGTTGTGCATTCTAACTGAAGGCTACACATTTTGAAGTTGAGATAGAATATTGTACGGTGAGCAGTTTTTTCTAAGAGCTGGGTTTTGTAGATTCCGAAGAAGATTTCCATTGAAGCTTTGATGTTTGGAGACATCGATGATGATGAGCTAAATAACTCAGTAAATGTGGAATCGTTGTACGGAGGTGAGTTCCTTTTTGAAGCACTTCGTGCAATCACGTAGTTCATTAGTTTTATGGTGGTTTGTATGCGTACCAGGCTTGTTTTTTCTTCCAAAATGTGCTCCTCTCGTGAGTCATACTATCTTTTGAAAAGCACTTTGTTTTAGGCTCTTTGTCTGTTGGATAAACTCGTCCAGTTGCTGAGAAGTGAACTGAGGCCTACACTTTTATAGAGATTCTGCGCCAGCTTACGTTGAGGTCCGTAGGAACAGTTCTTTCTTTTTCTTTCGTAAAATGTTTGAAAATGGTTTCAT